TAACACCCTTAGAGGTACCACAACCGCGTTTTTAACCTACAAGGTATGACGAGTACCTCGGGTGTTAATTAGTTCAGCATGCCAGACCAGAATTTTAAAAGTTCCAGGCTAAGTTATTTAAGTCATTTATCGTGTTTATTGTTCTAAAGGATCTCTCACAGAGTTCATACATCAGTGATGTAGCAACCCTTCCTGGCTTAATCTGACCGATATTCATCAAATTAATTTTGCACAGGGCTCTGGACTTTTAGTAAAGTCAATGAGAAGCTTATCGCATACAGGTGGGCCTGTATCTCTCCAAAAATTGGCCGCATGAGATGTGTTTTACGATTGTAATGATATCGCCATGACAACATATTTGCCTGGGCACCCCTTCTTGCTCGAAAATAAAAAGAAATATGGTGACGAAGTGGGACACGAGCGATAAATGGGAAGCTGGAGACTTGAGTTCTCATGCAATGCGCAGCAAGAACCATAAGTTCTGCTTGTTGCTACTTTATAGCTTGACCTCTCTACGTTTATTATATAGACACGAGTGTTTTACTTATAATATAGATAGGACCCTGCGTGCGCTCTGATTGGTGAAAAAACAATGTTTTAACAGAGTATAAAGCATACAAAAAGCTTGTTTTATTGTTTTTCGCCATATTACCTCTTTATCATAAATGAATGAATGAATGAATGAATAGCCTTTATTTAAATACGGTAAGTTTTTAAAGCCAAAAGCTTGTGGGTCGTGTATAAAATAAAGACCTAATAACAATGTGATAATAAGTAAAAATTAAAAACTACTGACATTGATTATAAGAACCTGACCTATATTTACAATATTTACACGTCAGAAAACGTTCCAATACAAATAAAACTATCATCACGATGCCGCACAGTTGAGGCGGACAATACGTTGAATTTAAAATCTTTAAGATAATGTTTTGTTTTTAATCGTTGTTTCAGTTCCCTCTGCTTTAGCTGTGAAACTCCATAAAGCAAATGAAGAATCCTAAGCCTTGTATTAATTACACTGTGATAAAACACTGTGGACATTTGAGAACACGAGGGAAATGTACAAAACACAAGCCGCAGGCGAGTGTTTTCTACATTTCTCGAGTCGTTTTTTATCACAGTGTAATACACGGCTTAGGTTTCTTTATTTGTTAATTATTGAAAATGCACCACTGAAAAAGTCATACGAAACCACATCAGGGACTTTCCAGATCCTCACTAGAAAAGATATAGATTATTTCACTTTTATCAAGTTTGTCTCTAAAATTTAGATTCGTTGGTGTATCATCGAAACAGTTTAGGGTCTTCCCGGAAGTCTTCGGCAATCTTCGGAAATTTTCGGAAATGTTCGGCAACGTTCTGGTGACCTTCGGAAAGTTTTGGAGAATCTTCGGAAAGTGGTCAGATATCTTCGGAGAATGGTCGAAAACGCCGTCATCAGTATGTCTAAATAATAAGAAGAATATTACACGTTAGCTCGAAGATATGAATTTTATGTTCTCGTGGCAAGAACAATTTATTTTCCTTGCCACTCGAACATAAAGTTCATATCTTCTCGCCACCGTGTATTATCCTCTAAATATATATTGACCATCTCGTCTTTTTTACACAGGTACAACGGCACTGCGTCCGTATGAACCGGTGGGCTGTTTTAAAGATAAAAAAGATCCACGCGCTCTACCAAAATGGATCAATTACTACCCTACCATGATCAACGAGACAGATTTGGCCAATTCACTCGCAGCCATAATTGAAGCGTGTGCTACTAAAGTGCATGAGAAAGGCTTCCGGTATTTTGGCGTGGAATACCGCCGCGAGTGCTGGAGTGGAGTGAACGGTAGTTTGACTTACAACATACATGGACGATCCGATCATTGTTTATCGAATTATGGCGTGGGATATATATGGACCATATTTGTTTACCGCTTTGTTGAAGGTTAGTTAACAGTTGATCATGATCACTTCACAGGAAATTAAATTTGACTCTGACAAGAAGTCTGAGAGTCTGGGAACTAGTGTCATGGATGCATAACAGCATGCCGTACAAGGGTTCCGATGTTTCACAAATAAAGGTGAAAACACTACCTTATAGGTATAGAAATGTTGCTGCTTTGTCGAATGATCAAAGATTTTTCATGGTTCCATACTACTATTTAATTTTGACCAGATATTTATTATTTTTGCCATCTGAGATTAGCTTTTTCGTTTTTCTTCTAACGGCACGGTCAGGTACTTCCTGTGTTTAAGCTATTTCAGGTTTCGAATCAGTCATCGATAGTGTTGATAATCCATTCAGCAAATTCTAATATGACAACAATTTTCTTGCGAGCTCTTTTAAAACGATATATTTAATTTAAGCCCTTCGTTTGCTAACTCGGTTATGTAGGATGATTGGCGTTTTGGCCAGCAGTCAACTGATCTAAATATTAATCTCAGTTAGTTCAAGAAATGTCTATGTAAACTGGTATTAAGCACCAGCCTTGGTGACGCTCTTGGCTTCTCAAGTTAATTGGATTGGAGTATTGAATAAAAACCATTAACCTTTTTGTCGTGAATCGTGAAGTCTTTCTGTACAGAAACGCCATCTTAAAACGCCGTTTTAGAGCATTAAGGCGATCAATTTTTAACAAATTGAATTTGAAAAGTCATAATACTAGGCACTTTCTGAAGCTTACATATCACGAATCGTACCCTCTAATCTTCAGTGAATGGTAGTAGTTGGAGTCAGTGGTCGTCATGGCAATCATGCAGCGTGACGTGTGGAGGGGGAAGCAGGACACGCACTCGCACATGCATTAATCCAGCGCCAAAATCGAACGAAAAGGATTGCCCTGGGACAAATATCTACACAGAAAGCTGCAATTTGCACAAGTGTGAAGGTAGATGCCTTTTTTCTTTTAAATATTTTTCCTGAAATGATTACGGCTTATTTTGACACTCTAGCATCTTCCTTTCTTTTTATTTTCTTGGGGGGTCCTTCTTGCAAGATGACAAAATGAAATACAGCGGCCAAAGGGTAAACGAGTGGCATTTAACGCCGCGAGATAAATGGAAAGCTGGAGACTGGAGAACTTCATGTGAAATACGCAGCTAAGCAGGTTGCTAAATCATAGTTTGACTTCTGTACTAAATGATTATGTGGCCTTTTCTACTTAGATAGGACGTCACTGCATCCGTATGAACCAGTCGGTTGTTTCCAAGATAAAAGATATCCACGCGCTCTACCAATATTAGTCCAAACGTACTCTGTCGACAAGAAAGATTTGGCCAATTCACTAGCAGCCATAATTCACGCGTGTGCTACTAAAGTGTATGCAAAAGGCTTCTGGTATTTTGGCGTGGAATATCGCGACGAGTGCTGGAGTTCAGTGAACGGTGACGTGAAATACAACAGACATGGGCCATCCGACAATTGTTTATTCAATTATAGCGTGGGAGATGAATGGTCCATATTTGTTTACCGCTTCGTTGAAGGTCAGTGAAAAGTTTATTTCTTCGCAGAGAATTTAGCCCTCTGACAAGAAGTCTAAGAGTCTGCTGGGAACTTTTGTCATGGATGCGTATGAACATACCGTATAACGGTTCCCATCCTTCTGCACATGAAGGCTAAATACACAGTACACACTAGTTCATAGGTGACGAAATGTTGCTGTTTTGTTGGATGATCAAAGATTTCTCACGGTTCCACATTATTGTTGAATTTTATCCAGATGTTTAGTTTTTTTTTTTCTTTTAACCTGAGATTAGCTCACTGACCCAGTTTCATTTCCTTTACTGGTATCCCATCATCACTTTTAAAGTTTACATACCATGAATTGTAACCTTTAATCATCAGTGAATGGTAGTTGGACTCAGTGGTCGTCATGGCAGCCATGCAGTGTGACGTGTGGAGGAGGCCACAGGACACGTGCTCGCACGTGCTCTGATCCAGCGCCAAAATGGAACGGAAAGGATTGCCCTGGGACAACTATTTTAACAGAGAGCTGCAATTTGCACAAATGCAAAGGTAGATCAGTGTCTTTTTTCCTTTTTTGCAATGTTTTTTTCGTAAAGAAATGATTCCGGCTTATTTTGACGCTCTAGTATGTTCCTTTTTTTTTCATTATTTTAGAGCTGAGTTAGTTTTTGATTTTTAAGGTGGCTCCAAGTCTTACTAATATATATATACACTCAAAGCTCTTTTGCACGGACATTAGGGGGTAGAACTGAGTGCTTATATTATACAGGTGTCCGTGAGGAGAGGTTCCTCCATAAATTACTATCTAAAATGTTTGTCGACAGAATGTTATTAAGACGTAAAGTCGACGTCCAGAAACGTCGAATTGATATAAGCTATAGCATTTGCCAAAGTTTTTGTATAATCATTGCTATCATTATATTAGACTTTGCACCATTTATGTTGTTTACCACTGGGGCAGATTCATAGCTTATTAAATATTGTTGTGAGCGAGCTGCTTCCAAAGTAATTCACAGGCGGTGCTGGAATAATAATAATGATAACAACATGGACTGGTTCAAGTTTAGAATGTTTAAATATTTGAATATTTTTGTCAAAGAAATAAATTCAATTTCCGTATATGTTGTCGTATCATCCTCTTTCAGTGTACTCGGACCATACAGAAGGTAATCTTGTTCTCAAGAATGCAACTTATCATGCTGAGAGCACTGGGGAATCCTCTTTGCTACTGGCAGCGAAGATTGTGGGCAGCTCGCTTATGGCTCTGCTATGTTTAAGTGGAATATTATGGTTTGCTTTTAGATATCGTCGAAAAAGTCGGTGAGTATGAAGAACATTCTCGATCGGCTTCAGTCAATAATGCGTGTGGTTTATTTATAAAAAAAAAAATAGGAACGTAGGTAACTTATAGGTGACATGTGTGACGCATAAAAACTTGTTCCAACACAGTAAAAAATCTAAGACAAAAAGTAATACCAATATATATTGGTTAACAAAAAAAAAGTAAAATAAATATTTTCGATTTTCTATTATCGCGCCAAATAGCCAAAGAAACTTCAAGAAAGTGTTCTAGCTATAGAAAAATTAACATTACTTTAAATCGATTGTTTTATATTTATGATTTAAAGGTGGCTCCCTCCCTCAACGAATTTTCACGTGTTTTATTGCGTGAGATTCTGTCAATTCTGTCAAAATTTGCACACTGGTAATAAATATTCTGCCTTAGTTGGAGCTCATTGTTCAGGGAAATCTGTTACACCGGTTTTGTCACAGCAGAAAGAAATAAAAAAAATAATAAAATAAGGCAAGATAAACTAGCACGCGTTACGAGATAAAATGGTTACCCCAAGGAGCCATCTTAAGTACTTCCTATGTTGAAGGCTCGAGCTCTTGATTATTATATACATGTTTTCAGATCCAATTCAAAACTCTTTGATCCATGGGAAGTCCTTTTTGACGACATTTCCTTGGATAGGATTATCGGAGAAGGAGCGTTTGGGAAAGTATACAGTGGCAGGCTTTTAAAACAAACTGTGGAGGATGGAAAAGGAAGAAAATCTTCGCAGAGCAAGACGGATAAGGAGCAGCAGCAAATGAAGATGGGCCTGACTGTTGCTGTGAAAATGTTACAAAGTATGATTTGGTGATTTCAGCGTTTTATAACCTATAAATATGCATAAGGTTCTAAATACTACCATTCAAACGGTCTTGATATGGGTAAAATGAAAAGTGTGAAAGAGTGATATATTTTGAGTTAACCAATTTGGCAGTTTCATGAAATAGGCGTCAAATTGTGATCATGTTTAGTTTTTTTAGCTTTAATCGAAGCTCGCCCTTGTATTTGCGAGGTATTATGTTTAAAACTTGTAATGACAAATGCTTTTAATTTTTGCTCTCCTAGATGGTGCCACAGAAGAACAAATGCACGAATTCCTAGAGGAAATACTGCTTATGAAACAAATTGGGTATCACCGGAACATATTGAATTTATTGGCCTGCTGTACTATGACAAGTCCCATGTTTCTTGTAGTGGAGTTTGCAAAGAATGGGGATTTACTTAATTACCTCAGGAAAAGAAGAGACAAGGTAAAGTGAGATAATTGAAAATCTTACCTCCTTTAATTAATTTGGTCACGGCAGTAAGTTTTAAAAATCCGACCAACTTACCAAACTGTTTATTGATTGAATTCAATACAGACCTCCCTCCACTAACGGTCATCTCTATGCAGCGGCCTCCAAAGTTTGTTCTGTCTCCAAGGTGGAGTTGTGGAGAGGTTTGACTGTATTCTGTATTCTTTTGGAAACACGAGCAAATAAGAATGCTCTGGGGCCGTTGAATTGGACGGGAACGGAACAGTTATTCAGACGTCCTTCGAGATTTTGCGGGCTCTCATCTCATGCCGGTTGTCTACTTAAAGTTTTCTATGAAAAACATGCAAAGATTTCATAAAAAATTCGTTTTCCTAGCTTGATATAAACCAGAATGTTGTAAATTTTAATTTCAAGAAGATTTCTCGCCCGTATAACATAAAGCGCCATGAATCAACATGGGCTGTAAAACGAAATTAGGGACCTAACTCCACAATTCTGAAGCCTCTCCTGCTTATCTAGTCCGTTGTAGTATGAGAGAGAAAATGTTACCTCCCTCCCCCTCTAGATTATCGCCCACCGCAGGTTACCACCCCCACCGCCAAACTCATAGCGTTTTGTCAGGTTTCGCTCGCTCATATAATTCGCGAGCACGTGGAGAGAAACATTGTGAGAGTAAAGACTCTTTCCTCTTCTTTTCCTTTTTCCTCTACTCTGGCACTTACTAGTGACTTACTTATTACTAATTTACTTTTTTGTTCTAAGTATTTTGAGATTTACTTATTTATTCCGCTCAGTTATTTATTGTTTGTTTTCTTTTTTCCCTCATTTTCTCTCTTCACTGACCCCCTCGTTTAAAGTTTTACGGCAAACCAACTTCTTGGTATAGATACTACTTAATTTCACTCAGCTCCATTAACTTCTAAGTTATTGTGGATTAATTTACTTAATTTTCTGTTTCAATTAGTAAGAATTAAAGTAAGTATAAGTGACAACTTTATTTTTCGAGGGTAGCACATGACAGTAAAAACTGATAAACCAGTGACTCTCAATCTAAATTACAAATATTAATAATACTAAGATAAATACAGCAAATTAAAAACTAAAAATAATAGAAAAAAGAAAAAGTATATACCTGATTAAAATTTTAGGATAAAAGAGACATTTATACACGTTGAAACTAGGCTAAAAAATATCATTTATCTTTTTTGGTACCTGAGAGTTTTCTAGTTTGGTAATAGAGTGCGTGTTGTTGTTGTTTTATATTTGAGATCAAACAAGCTTTTGAAGCGACGGGAGAAGCAGCGCCCCACCTCTCAGGATATCAAGACAAAGGAGTCATAAATGAAGGGAGCTTATATGAAGTAATTAATCTCGTTTTATTCGCTTTGCACTCTATGTTCCATGCAAAATAAGAAGGCAACCAGTAGTGAACTGGAGTACAAATCTTCTGGTCCCTCTCACTAGATGAATTTGTGTACGGTAGTGCTGAATTCAGCTCCTCCTCGCTTTTAAGTAGCGCTGAAATCTCAAAATTGCATTAACACGAGCATTAATGTTTGAGCTGGAATTAAGTTTCTAAAGTCCTTTCTGTTGGAAGAAGTATTTCATGCTTCGACTCAAAATTTACAGGTAGGCTGCAGTTTAACCATATAACACCCCTTCCCCCGCCCCCAGAGATTTTTTTGAAATGAAACGGGTTTTTTTTCCAACCTTCGCCGAGGTTTTGACATGTCAGCTGTCTCCCCGTCATTTGACATTGCCTTAGTAACCGTTAGTTAAACGTCTCCTTTTATGACAGAATTCTTCGTTTTTTTTTTTTTTCCGACGGGTAACATTACAAGGCCAGTACCATTTTAGATTCTAGTATCAGTTTTGGATAATCTCCCATGAATTCACGTTATTTTCCGACTTTTAGTTAAATCCAAGATGGCGGTCTTAATGCGGTCACATGAAGTCATGTAAAAGTATGTCATCATGCAGAGAAAGCCAACGACTATCTTCTAAAGCAAAATAATTAACATAATTATGTCTTATTCCATTCCATCTGCCCCCTTCTTCTATCCCGGTAGGGGTGTAAGGCGAGGGTTTAGCTGTGGCAGCTAATTAATCAATAAATGAGTGATTTTCTCTTTTCAGTGCACCAGTGACAAAAACGAATGTGCAGCAATTGCCCAAGGGAGTATCAAGAGTGATACTGACAACTTACAAGACGATGGTACTCTCACACCCGCTGACCTAATGGCGTTCGCATGGCAGATAGCAAAGGGAATGGTACGAGCTGGATTACATCCATATTGTAGTGTTTGCAATTTGTAATGTTAAGATAAATGCTTTGATTGCCTTTTTCACAGATTGTTGTTTGAGTCTTATTTTCCTTTTCATTAACAATATCTGGTGCAGTGACTTAACTTTCCCTTTCTTTCTTTTCATAGGAGTTTCTGTCGCGGAAAGGATTCGTCCATCGTGACCTTGCGGCGAGAAATGTTCTCGTTTGTGAAGGCAAGCTAGTGAAGGTGGCCGACTTTGGATTATCGCGTGACGTGTACGCTGAGAAAGTGTACCATTCTAAAAAGAACAGAAAACTACCAATCAAATGGATGTCACCAGAAGCCATTCATGATCAGTTGTTCAACGCAGAGAGTGATGTGTAAGTTTAAAACTACCACGAAAAGGGAGTCGGCGAGGTTCCTAATCAACGGTTTTTATCAAATCCGAGTTGACCGCTACACATTTAGTTTGCTGATTCGAGTGTCTTAATAAAGAGAGTTAAAGATATTTTAACGTTTTTAGCCTACAATTACTGCTTTGGCGTAATTTGGTGAGGAAAGTAGTGCGAAAATACATAAATTTGAAGTGCTCACAGTTCAAATTCGACGTTGCAACAAGTTGACTAAGATGTGAATTAAATAATGAATTTGTCAGATATATAGCGTCCTTTTTTATTGTACATATATATTGCGGCTCAAGATGCAATAACCAATAACTGGTTATCTGATAAAGTTTATATGATTATATCTCAACAGGTGGGCGTATGGTATTCTACTTTGGGAGATTTTAACAATCGGTGCGTAGCATTTCTAAAACGAACCTTTAGATATTCGGGCTCAGCTTTTCTTAACCTCTTACCCCGTAGCATTCAATACGCCGAGTCACTTTCTTCTTTCAAAGTTTCACTTGACGCCTACAATTTTTAAATTATATAGGAACTAGATTTTTATAAATTATTGCGTGCTCGTTTATACTCTCTAATTTTAATTATTACTTGCATTTTTAAATTTATATCTTGTATTTTTTTAAATTTTATCTTGTATTTTTAAATTATCACGATGTCTTGTATATTTAGTCCAGGGCCTCTCTGGATATCAGCCTCGTCGCTGAATGGGCCACCCTGGCTAAATAAAGTTTACCTTTACCTTTACCTTACCTTTAATTAATTTCGCCATTTTGGAATCTATGTACTTTTAACTTCCTTGTTAAGTTACTAAACTCGTGGTTTTCAGAAATTCACTATTTTTTTAGGTTTCTTTGCAATCACGCATGCCAAATTAAACTAGCTCAGTTATAAAGCCCGAAGGGCTGGGGTTCTCCCTTATATGGGCTCTATAGATATGTGCGGCTCCAAAGGATATGGTTTTTCAGCCGTTTTGGTCATAAATAGGGTATCAATTTTTGGCCATTTTGGTCATAAATAGGGTATGGTTTTTGCACTCTAGTCTTGATATGGGTATGTTTTCTTTGGAAGAAGCTACTTTTCCATCTTTATCGATAAGACCATCAACAAAAGCCCTTCATAAACTATGTTTAGAACAACTATGCCAGCCGCAACGGTGATATATAGGAAATCGATCCAATTTTCTTTGTTAGGTCATAAAAAGGGTTGGAAAAATCGCAAATTTTGGTCATAAATAGGATAAGAGTTTTGGAAACAGGCCGCAAACCCCCACCCAATTTTTCTGGGAGTATCCCCTCCCCAGGTTATAAACGCACCTGTAGTTCATCACTCCATATTGTACCTGGTTGTAGTTAAGAGAGCCTATGAATGATCTCAGTTATACATCATTACTAATTTCATCTGAAGTAAAACTTTAAAATAACACATTAGACATATTAATGTATAATTATCATGATCAATGCCCTTACCTTTGATCTTCAATGAGCAAGCTATGACACTCATACTGACGAAATCAAGGTTAAACCTCCCAGCTTGCAGGAGACTAACCAGTTGGATATCTCCAAAATTGACCGAGAAATTGAAATCAGTGCTACAGTTCAAAAATGTAACCAGAGAAGGGGAGCGGACTTGAGTTCGGGACCCCCGCATTACAACGCTATCAGCGCGATAAACCACATGTTCTCGCTGCCCCTTAAACTGACCTTTTTCTTAGATGCCCTTTTTGTTTGTTCCTAGGCGGAACGCCATATCCTACCATAAGTAATCATAAACTGTTTGAAGCTCTGAAATCTGGATACAGAATGGAAAAACCACAGATGTGCTCAGATGAAATGTAAGCCTTCTTTTTTCTGCCCCCGCTCCTTTTATGAGTTGATAACTGACACCTGCCACTCATTTTCTCAGGTATGAATTGATGCGACAGTGTTGGAAAGAAAAAGCCGCTGAAAGGCCTCCATTCACTGACATCCGGGAACAAGTTGAACGGATGATGTTACACGATTGTCCTTATTTGGACATGGCTGACGTAAACTATAGTTACGCGCCCTTCTATGAAACTCTCATTGACGAAAAAACGGAACTGGAAAGTAGTGCTTTCTAACTTAGATGTAAATTTGTATGTAAGATTTATCGACGTCATGACACGTCATATTAATGTTACCACTCAGATTCAAGGGTCAATTCATACCTCGCCGTGAGGAATCGTCATCTTTGAATTCACCACCCTTGCAGGAAGTCAAGAAAAATTAATGATAACAGAATGTAAAAAACAACCCAAATATAGCCAAAATTTTTACTTTTTCATTATATTCTTGTAAATCGTCTATTCTCTTAGGTTGTACAAACTGTATGCCTTGTAAAAATGCTATTAATGCTATTATTTTATTAATCAAGTTTTTCGTATATAAGTGCAAAATGGTTTTCGGGTTAGGCGTAAGGGTTAGGTTACATAATCCCGATTTTGCTGGCGTACAAAGCTACTTTAAGTTTCACTATAATTGAAAAATATACATATAACTTTTCTCATCAGGATAAAATCATCAGCAAGTGGAAACTGATGGAAAAATAGTTTGCATATAGATGATGTAATATACTTAATGTAAAGATGTTTGTATAGTAGAATTGTGTCTAAAATGTGCAATGAAAGTATTATTCTTGTAACCTACTTTTTGTAGTATACTGTGTAATTGATGTATCCTAGGAGTTAGCGATAAAGTTCTGCCAAAAATAAAAATAAAAAAATAAATAAATAAAAAATAGTAAAACTGCAAGCAAAATATTACGTGCTTACCCAGTAACATTTCGATATTGCGGCAAGTGGAGATGATCGTTCACACAAGTTCAATAACACTCGTGAGATGTTCATTGTTTTTGCACCTGTTGGTTTCTCAGACTCTCAAATTGTAAGGCATATTCCCAAAGAACATTTTGTTTCGTCTGGAATTGAAAAGGTACCGAAGGCCGTATTTTGAAAGAAAAAAAAAATAATAACCTCGCCATGAACGTAATTGAATCTAAAGCGGGACCCTTGCTTAAAATGTGTCCCTTGAACGAGATGGTCTGGAAGCAGGAGTACCATTTGGAAAAGATTGCCTTCGCCATCACAGCAATAATCCTGAACTTCCTAAGCTTTCCTGTGACGATCCTGATGAATGTGCTTTTGATAATGGGGGTAAAGATAAGACCTTGATTGCAAAGCAAATATAATATTTTGCTGTTCTGTTTGGCGGGAACAGACCTGTTTATCTTAATAGCAGCGGCTTCTCAGCTCATTAGTCTTAGATTAACCAGCTCACTCAAATGATTCACCTGAGAGAAATGATTCGCTCGAAGCGCGCTGATAACAAACCTGAATCAGAGGAACAACTTGACTAGCGACCTGAATCAGATGACTCACCTAATTGAGATAAAGTTCTCACATAGCCCTCCCTGAGACACTGACTCAGACTGCACAGCTGATTCAGAGTACCAAACTTACACAGGCTAACCAACAGACGCTGATGATCCACGAGAGTTAGATGGCTCAGAAATAGACCCACCCTCATAGAGATGAATCACCTGACTCAGATGACCTACCTAACCCAAATGAATCATTTCACTCTCATTACTCACTTAGCTCAAACAAATCATGCTGACTCACATGATTCACCTTACTTAGATGAATTAGCTGGATCAGATGACCTGACCTGAATCAGGTAAACCAACCGATTAAGACGACCCAGCCCATCAATGCAAACTGGAGATATCGATAGATAACTTTATTTAGACTCGGTAAAAACGTCAGGCCTTAATTACAAAACTCTATTATTGTATAAATTAATCACATCTATAGACTCTATTACATCCTAAAACCATTATAAATACAATGTATTAGGGCGGTTTTCAATTTAGTGGCCCAAAACCAAAACCGTGCCAATTAGCCTACTTACCAATTACACCACTCAGCCAATCTCAAACCGTAGAAAAATCGAAACCAAAACCAGAGTAATTGCTTAAATGACTTTCGAGACTCGATTGAAAACCGCTCTAAAAAGAAAACTGATAGTTCGATCATAATAAAAGCAATTAAAACTAAACAAAACGCCTGCTTTCCATCAATGCCATATGTTTATATAATTATTTACACGTTGTAGAAGAGACCGCCGCAGCCGGATTTGATAAACTGACAAACTGCTGAGAGTTTGTGCTTGCGAAGTTTGACAGATGAACCATTCCACAGCACCATCATAGCTAAAACTGTTCCTTAGGAAAGGGATGTCCGCTCCCCCCTGACTTAGCCAATGCATGATTACAACACTCAATCACGAGTTAATCTTTGCCTTTACATAACTAAGCTTCCATGTGGTTTTGTATTCAAACAATGTAGTTTCTACGATGCCTTATGCTACTTTCTCAAGAAACCTCAAGTGACCATGCAGCCTCTGTTGAGAGGCCAACCTTGTGTTCTCCCTAACGATGGTGGCTATATGGCCTCTATTTAAAATGTTCAAAAATGTTCAAATGTTGTTTATAATGGCCAATGCGCTTAGCTACACCTAGCTAGTTCACAAGCATGCCACTTAAACTGAAAAAAAGGAAAGCGAACTAAACATATTAGGCTATAAAATTCCAACTAGCGGAAGGCAGACCAGCTGGCTATTTACAAGCATGACCGAGGAGTTGAACTAGGGTCTACCGGAAAACAACTCCAGCTTATATAAGTGCCCAGAGCAGGACTTGAACCTGCGACCTCTGAGTTTCAAGCCCAGTGCCCTAACCACTCGGCCACGCTGCCTCCAAGTCTATTGGCTAGTTTTAAATGATAAGCCCCCTGGAGGAAAGGGCCCATACATTCGCCCGCGATCATTTCTGGGGACAATAACAATAAGAAGAAAATAGAAGAATCATGGCAGTTACTTTACATCAGAGTCATGTTCTTTGAACAATTCTAAGTTAAATGAAGATCAAGAGGAATAAAATAAAGAACTGAAAATACTAGCTATAGATGTGCCTTTTTGCTTTGTATTAATTCATTTTCTGGACTACCAGGGAAAGTGGTGAAATGTGAGATGGAGGATCCAATATGGCTATGCTTCGACGTCATTTGATATCATGACATCAGAGCCAGTGAAAACAAATATCATCTTGCAAGGCAAGCTGAGGGGTATCTATAAAATTCAAAATAATCTTGGTATGTTTAGAACGAAAACAAAATAAGCGAACCCCTATTTTATCCTGTTAAGGGCCTAAATTAATTTGTACTGCGGAGAAACGTACATACAAAATGCCGACTTCTCATCAAGTCGAAAAATCTTTCACGCAGATAAGCATGTAAGTTACACGGCAGTATTTTCCAGTTCCGTTTCTTCGTCACTGTCAACGTCATAACAGGGCGCGTAACTATACTTCGCGTCAGCCATATCCAAATAAGGACAATGGTGTAGCATAATCCGTTCCAGTTGTTCCCGGATGTCAGTGAATGATGGCCTTTGAGCGGGATTTTCTTTCCAACACTGTCGCATCAATTCATACCTTGGAAAATGAGTGGCATGTGTCAGTTATCATTTCATGAATCGAACGGGGTGAGGTAAAAAGGAAGCTTACATCTCATCCGAGCATATCTGTGGTTTTTCCATTCTGTATCCAGCTTTAAGAGCTCCAAAGAGTTTATGATTGCTTATCGAAGGATATGGCGTCCCACCTAGATACAGAGAAAGAAGGAGATCAGTTTATGGGGCAGCGAGAGCATGTCGTTTAGAGCGCTGGTAGTATTATAACCCAGAGGTCCCGAACTCAAGTCCGACCCTCTTCCCTAGCTACATTTGTGATCGGTGACACCGATTTCAATTGCTCCGTCATGCTCGCAATTATCTGATTGGTTAGCGTCTAGCAAACTGGGATAACAACATTTCCGTCAGTTTGAGTGGCAGGCATGGAAACTTCGAAACTATCCCATTGTAGGATGAAGCTTATTGCACTGATTGCTGTAATCGTCCATTAATATATTTATCAAATACTTCATTTTAAAGTTTTACATCCATTTTGATACAACGGGTCATGCAGGTTAGATTAGTAATATGCCTGACAAGTGAAGTACAAGCAAAGTCTTATTATATGGCTGTGTCTCACAAGGACTGAGAAATACCGAATTCACGAATTTGTTTGGCTGAAATCGATAGTGACCGCAGTCTAGATTTTCCCATCTAGACGGCTCACATTTTGCGATAAAAAGTTGCAAACTAAAATACAAACTGACATTGATTATTTTCATCTAAAAGCATTAGCGGAAGTGTCAAAACGCGTGATGAGAAAAAAAAAAAGTAAAGAGAACAAGCAAACGTTGTTAGTTTTAACTTCAGCTCATCGCCGTTCGCAGGCAAAATGTCATTTAGTACAAACCAGTTACATTAAACGAATTAAATTGTTCTTGTTTGCCATATAATAAACATTTTAGGAACTGAGCTTGGTCGGTCTGTATGGGAGAATCTTGACCTGTGTCGTGTGTACAGACCTGAGTGAGTTCGGTCTGTACTCACGACCTCGGTCAAGCTTTTCTCATACAGACCTCCTGCTAGATTAATAAGAGCTAAATATTATTACTTATAGCCCCTCTGAATTGCAGTCGAGTGGAACATGGAGTGATGAACTGATTCCTGCCACGATCTGATACTACACCAACTTAGCAAGGAAGCAAAACGTACAGTAGATATATTGCCAAAGTCAAGAGTGGAAATAATGTACACACCGATTGTGAAAATCTCCCAAAGCAGAATACCATACGCCCACCTGTTGATATAAGTAACATAGACATTGATAAATACCTCGAAGAGGGAAGGAAAAAAATGAACCATCGATCAAGCTAAGCAACCTACCAAACTTGGAAAATTTGCTTGAACATGCAGGTTCATATTCAGGTAAATCAAACTCATTTTGCCAGAAAGGCTTTGAACGAAGACTTGTTTTGAAACAGAAGTACAAGGTAACTCGGAAATGGCCTTAAACTTACACGTCACTCTCTGCGTTGAACACTTGATCATGAATGGCTTCCGGTGACATCCATTTGATTGGTAGTTTTCTGGACTTTGTAGAATGGTACATTTTCCCAACGTACACGTTACGCGACAATCCAAAGTCAGCTACCTTCACTAGCTTGCCTTCACAAACGAGAACATTTCTCGCCGCCAGGTCACGATGGACGAATCCTTTCCGCGACAGAAACTCCTAGGTAAAATAAGAAAGACAAATTTTGGTCATTGCAACAGAGGTTCATAATTCATGTGAATCAAATCCATTTTCACATAAAAAGAAACATTTCAATATCAAGCAAAAACAGCAAGATGTTAAAACTAATCGTCAAAGTATCAATCTTAACATTGCAAATTGAAAACATATTGGGCAATCTAGACATTTTAAACGTAACCGTACCATTCCCTTTGCTATCTGCCATGCGAACGTCATTAGGTCAGCGGGTGCCAGAGTATTATCGTCATGGAAGTTGTCAGTATCAGTTTTGACAGCTAATGTTGCAGATCTGGTTTTGTTGCTGGTGCACTGAAAAGTAATAACACTTTTTAACGACTAATTAACCTTCACAGCTTTTAACTGTGGTCTTCCTGCAAACTTTGATTGGAATCCTGAATTTTTTTTTTTAGGAAGATAAATTCCAACAACTGTTTCTAAATAAAGTATGCAAGAAAATTCAACTGTAGAAGACTTCCATTTACAGCACAACCCAAGAAATTTCAGTCAGTCTGATGGTTATCAGAGTCTCAGCACATGATCCAAAATCTCAAATGCTAATTCTCATTATTTTATGGCAAGAAAATCTTAAGCTAAATCCGAGCGTTTTGATTGGTTCTGTCCTAGTTGGGATTTTGTCATACGGACCGTTTTCATGGAAACGGTCATAAGCCGTATAACTTTTGCTTTCGAATGTCGGAAAGTTCAGTGCCATATAATAAACTACTTACTAACCTAGCTTGCTCGAGTTGTACAGAACTCGCTGCGCTCGGTCCGTTCTGTCACGACCTCGGGCCAATATTCCCCAGTATGGCCCTCGCTCTCGGTTAGTAAGAGGATATTAGACCGTGATGCCTTTCATTCAGAAAAACTTGGAATTCGGTACTACTGAACACAAATCCATTTAGAGGGAGGGACTGGAGGATTTGTACGCCAGACCACTACTGGTTACCGCAGTCTCTCTTTTTGCATAGAACAAAGAGTGCAAAGCGAATAAAACGAGAGTAATTAATTACTTCATATAAGTTGCCTTCATTTATGACACCTCTGTTTTGATATACTGAGAGTTGGGGCGCTGCTTCTCCCGTCGCTTCAAAAGCTTGTTTGATCTGAAATGTAAAACAAAGTAATAAAAAGCTCAATGGTGGGAGAAGCGATCTCTTCGGCAAGGACCTGTACTTTTACAATCTCTCTCTCTCTCTCTCTCTCTCTCTCTCTCTCTCTCTCTCTCTCTCTCTCTCTCTCTCTCTCTCTCTCTTTAAAT